TTTGCAGTTCAGGCGAGCGGGGCTGACAGACAAAGAGGCCAGACAGGATGTTATAAAACACAACCAGGTGAAGAGGAGAGGGGTTAAAGCATACGCTTGCATGCTACACGAGCGCTTCGTGCGTTATTAGCGTGCAGAATTCGGCTCCCTTTTTCGGTGCACCTCCCCGCTTCCTTCGATTGCTCTACAGGTCGGATCTGCCCGGCGTGCCTCGAAGCTCACATGCAGTGAAATTATGATATTTCCTTATAGGGGGAAGGGAAAATGTGCTAGCGAGTGCCTCTAACACTTTGGACTTAATTAGTCCTAATAATGTAATCTAATTTGCTTGAAACTTGAGACAGACTTGAGTGGCAATCTAATGTGTTGAACAAAGCTCCCTCCTCGCTTTCATTTGGGGGCCTTGGAGTGCTTTCATGCCCTGTTCTCTTAGTGATAAGACTTTCTGTCTGAATGACTAACTGGCTGCAGCTCTTTCAGGCTGACTCAGTATTTAACGCGGCCTGTCTTTTTCTCCTCCTCTGACTGTCCTGCAAAGGCAAAATTGAATGTAAAATGATTGATTGGCTCGTTTTTTTTTCTTCTCCCCCCTTCCTCTTTGTTTGTTCCCAGAGCTGTTGAAAGCTCTTCAAGTTTCCCAAATCGAATTCTTCAAACCCCCTCCCCTCCCAAAAATAGAGACGATTAATAAAAGCCACATTGTTACTGAGCGTCGGTCAGATATTTTTATTATCTGTTGAGGGAAAATCTTGAGAACTTCTCTCTCTCTTTTTTTTTTTTTTTTTGGAGTGTCGCTTTCATTCTCGCAAATCGACGGCGACGTCCAAACCTTCGCTGTCACATATTTTCTCTGATCTCCTTTTACAGATACTTCCCAAAGCGACTGACGACGGCCACACACAGCTGCCGGCCACATACAGACGCCGCGCATATGTACAGGATAGCAGCACAAGACAACAGAAAGGAGGTCTCTACTGAGTTTGGCTCGAAAATAAACAAATTGTTCTGATCTGAAATGGCCGTAAGGCGTTTTGAAATACCCAAAAAGCCAGTTTGGTCTACTGGAAATCTGAAACAGAAACTAAAGTGTTTTCTCCCCAGCTTCCTTGTTTGTCTCAAAGTCGTTCGGCTTGCATTTTAAGCCGCACGGAGCCTAAAGAACTCTCTGTTTCGCTAATGCACGAGAAGCAATATCCTCCCTGGGTGTTTCATGTACAAAAAAAAAAAAAAAAAAAGACCCAGCTATTTATGAACATGCAGAACCGTACAGATGGATGTGTTGTTCCAATTAATGACAGCAGTGATTCAACGCTGCGCTAATAAGCGCTTTCATTTTGCTCCAGTAGTTAAAAGTCATTTTAGTAAAATGCCAGAGAAAGTGCTGAAGTAACCACAACTGTCTCAAGTCTACCTGTTTCTGCACACTGCCTCTCAGGAGGCTCATAGAGCACTACTACTTTTTATTACTCCACTCACAAAAAAATAAAAAACATAAATCCAGCTGCAAGCTGCCAGCCAGCTGGCTGAAAGAAATGTGGAACATCTGAAGTTTCCACTTTGACTCATTTTGGACACACAACAGTTCTTTTAAGACAAAAAGATGAATCTTCTTAGGAAACTTACTCTTGTTTTTAACATCTATATTATTAGTTTATTTAATTTAGTCAAATTTCTTAATTTCTTGTATTTGTACTTTTTTCTATTTTATCAAAACAGGTTTCTCTTTTAAATGAGACAATGGATCTCAATGAGACAACCTGTATAAATAAAGGTCAAATAAAATAAATTTAGCTTTTACCTCACCTACAAGACAGACAAGTGAGGCTGGGCATTGCCAGTCAGCTGGCTGAATAGAGACTATTACATTTTCAGTTAGCAGACAGTATAACTAAACAGCTAATGCTAACTCAATAAACTACCATCAGTCACCAAAGCACAACTGATAATCCATTTATTTTGTCCATGTTCAAATGTTTATGTAACATAACCTGTTTGCAGCAAAAAGATAGAAAGAGACGCACAGTAGCTAAACGTGTTTGCTAAATTAATATGAACTGACAGCACTTGGTGTGCAAGTTCAGAAAAATGTTTGTTATTCAAAAACTGATCTTGTTGCTCCCAGACTGGCTGAGTAGAAAATGATCAGAATTGATCCTGATGTCAGTTTTGGCCTTACAGAAAATCAGTCCAGATCATTTTTAGAAACAACGAGTTATCAATGATGTCAACTTGCCTTTACGTAGCCATGTTGACTTTTTAGGTGATTAAGTACACTCTGCAGCAAAAAGTCTTTAAAGTGTGACTTCCCTGATTTACATAAAGGCTTTTTCATGTCTAGAACCAAAAGCTTCGCTTCACATTATTACCACTGAAGATGGATCACTGGTACGAAAAAAACTAAACAATAAAAGCAACATTTCCAAACATGATTTCTGTGGTAGTTCTATTGCTCTGAGCGGTTCAGGGGTCCGAATCAACTGCTTTGTTCAATTATGCCTTGGGCTGGCTCTGTTTTATACAAGAAGCACTACCATCCATTTTACAGTTTTATTCTATTTTTACATTCATTTTTGCATCAGGATAATTTGTTTAAAGTAAAGAAAATCACAGCTACAATAAATAATATATTAGCTGCAATTGGAGTCGGTGTGGCTTTTTGAAAGATTTTACTGCAAAACTATTTAGATTGTGTTACATAAGACAGTTTTCAAATAACTGTACTGCAGTATTGAAATGAAGATGATCATAACGTGAGATTCTCATACAGACTCTCACTTTAGCCATCGTCATCACGACTACATCAGTTGGAAGTGCCGAAGTGTGAAGTCTGTAATGGCAAAAAAGCTGAACAGAGCTGCTTTAGTCAGAGAACGAGCCATGAAAGCTTCCCTTTAACCGCTCGGATCTGACCATGACACAACAGTGGAACACAGCGGTGACCAGTTTCTGCGTTAGCCGTTTAATCGTGCGTGAAATTCCGTCTGGAAACATCTCAGTCTGCCGAAGCCTTGCGTAATCCTGGACAGCCTTCCCAGCCCTTTGGGTGCGATGGTGACTGTCTCCTCTGATAAACTCTGCATTGGTTTCCCTACAGCACCGGCAGTCGGCAGGCGCTACCATTCTTACACACACACACCCATACACACACACACACACCCTGTTTTTTGTTTTTTTTTCGCCCCCCAGGCCCTCCAGCTGTTTTCCCTTTTCCCCCCGAACAGCCGACTGAACGGCCTTGCAGCTTTATTAATCCGTTTCTCCTCACCCCCACCCACACACACACACGCACCCAGACGGAGTTTAATCTTTAACTTCTGCATATAATGCTGCTGGATTTTTTGTTTTTTCTTTTTTGTCAAACGCTCCAATAAGTGACGTGCTCTCGCAAAAACAAAACAAAAAAGGAAGAAATAAACCACGTTGGTCTGATTGTGTCATCGTTTTCTCCTGTTTTAGGAGTTTCAACTTCAACACTGGCATGTTTTGCGTGTGTGTGTGTGTAACCAAAAATAAGTGCACACTTGCACATATTTTTTGACACTCCTGGTGAAGATGTGAAAGAAAAGTTACATAAATAAATCTTTTATTGCAGTAGTATAATCTCACACTGATTTTTTTAAAAAACATCACCCTAAGTTAGATACATATACTTCTACATCAACATGTATGTAGATAAAATATATTTTTCACTTTCACTTTACTTTTCCAAGTTGATCTAGGAACTTCTAATTGGCAATTAAGACCTCTTGTTGATGTGGGGAATACATATGATGTGACACAGAGGCCTGTTTCTGTAGGCTTCATGTGGACCAATGTTTATCTACAACATACAGTGTGCAGGATGGAAAAGTAACAAAAATTAAATAAAAATACACCAAACACCAAAGATTCCTGTTAAAAATCTTCAGTGAGTGCCAATCAGAGTTCACAAAGTTTCCATAGCGACCATTAAACCATATTTACACGGCAATAAGTTGTTTGGAAGTGATACTAGCAACAACAAAAAATAACTTTTCAGCCCTACTATCACAAATGTAAACATGTGGATGTTGCTAAACTCTACTGGGAGTTTAACTAGAACTTTGGGCTTGGATTAGGTAAGACGAACATTGAACTCATGGATAAGAAATCCTTCAGGTTTGGTGTGAAACAAACGGTAAATATTGTAGAAAAGCAACTGTTAAGTATGGAAGAGGATCTGTGATGCGGTGGGACATTTTTCTCATTAAGCAACCCTTCAGATTTTGTTAAAGTGGTGTTGTGAACTTTTTAAAATGCTAACATATGGGGAACAAAAACAAAGCAATTGACAAGCACTAGAAAGCAAAGAACCGATCATCACTGGGTCTTTGCAGCAGGGTAATGATCCAAATTAACACAGAAGTGATTAGTCACTCACAAACATCTCATTTGAATTTGACCTAAATCAAATAAAAAAAAAATCAATCTCAGGAGTGAGCTAAAAAGAGGAATGGTCCAAAACTCATCAATCTTTGTGCTCCAAAGTTGTGAAACGTGTAAAAAAAAGGGCCTCTCCTATTAGCAAAAAAGTAACAGTAAAACATATTTCCAACAGAGGTTACCAAAACTGTCTTCAGTCACTTCAGTTTATTCCCCCCTGAACAAACATACTCAAATTAATGGCTTGATTTTATTATTATTATTATTTTTTTTTTTAGTGTGAGATTATGGTCCTGCAGCATCAAGATGAAACGATTTCAATACCTTTTGCACATCTTCACCAAGGATGCTAATAAGTACTCACTACACACATACACACACGCTTTACAGACACTTAGCTGTAGAGGGCGCTGTGTGGGTAACATCCTCCTTACAAAGAAACAGACACAACTCTGCAGCTCTGAGTCACTCTAATGAAAATCATCTCAAGCTACATTAATCCCTCCTGAAGGCCACCGTCAAAATAAAAGCTTTCTTTAAAGAGAGAGCTGTGTGTTTTGGGAGCAGTGTGTGCCACCTGTGCGTTTAACACTCCGTACCTCCTTTCTCCTGTTTGGGGCAGATTCCCTTGGCCGGGGTCAGCCTCCTGTGCTCGTCTTCCTCCCCGCCGGGGGTCACCTGGATGCCCACCTCCACCGGAAGTGACCCTCCTCTGCCGAGCTCCAGCGAGCGGGCCCGGGGCGAGACGGGAACGCCCATGATCCCGCCGGCCTCGCCGGGCTTGGAGAAGGCGCCGGGCCCGCCGCCGCCGGGCCCCCTGCACAGCCGCCGCTTGTGCTCGATGAAAACGAGGATGTCACCAAGGGGGAAGTTGGTCTGACACTGGCCGCAGGTCAAGAGGTCGTGCTCCCCGGGCCCCATCCTCCGAGGACTCGGGGTGGACGGCTCCGGAGAGGGAGATCGAGCGCCTGAGTCATGGTTGACCTCCGCTGTGAGAAAAAGAGACGCAGAAAACAATTAAAAAAAAAAGACATTCAGTCAGTGAGAAAAACATCCTCAGAGAGAGAGAGAGGAAAAAAAAACTCAGCAAGGTTTAGTCCTGAAACCAATACAAGATAACAACCATCCCTCTGTACCGCACAGGGTGGTCGTTACATTAAAAAAAAAAAAAAAACTGTGTCACGTTCAGGGGCTTGAAACAGCAGAACGCTGTTAAGACTACTTTGCCAAGATAAACACCTGCGCCGCTTATCTCTGAGAGAGATCTGCGTAGGTGGGACCAAAAACACTTTACTCTACATGTCGATGTGCGTCTGCGAACGTGTGTGCGCGCTCACTCCGCTTGTGTTTTGTGTTTGTGCGGCCAGGAAGCGATTCATCTCAACGGCGCAGGCTTGGTTTCCGGTGAGAGCCCTTCGCTGCGCTGAGCTGTCACAGTGAAGATGGTTGCCTTCCACCACGTGGGAGCCTCGGCTTCTGCTCGACAAAGTGCATAGCGTAACCAAGGCCACATCCACAAGCCTCTGTTTGTGTGTGTGCGTGTGCGTGTGTGTGTGTGTGTGTGTGTGTGTGTGTGTGTGTGTGTTAAAGTGGGAAACATGAGGAGGGGGGAAAAGAAAAAAGAAAAAACAGCTTCATGTGTGCATGAATGGATCAAGACTCAGGTGAGTTTAAACGGTATTCTCAACAGACTGAAAATCCATAAAGCCAAACCTGGGGTCCTGTTAGGAGAGTAAATCTCATTCTTCACAGATCTGACACGGTCATTAATAACCATTACAGCGTTCTTCTCTACCTCCTCCCGCCGCCCCTATGGCACAGACACCGTCCCTCAGCTTAACGCAAATCCCTCATGGACAACTTCCACTTTTTTTTTTTCTTTCTCCACACTACCCTGATGTACCACCATGAAAATGTGTCCTCTTCTTGAGAGCCCAGAGGAAACCTGAAGCTCCAGAGACAGTGAGGGATGTCTGGGCGAGCGAGCGGGAGATCAGGGAGGAGAGCCGCGTCAGTGCCTGGGGGGGAGAGAGAGAGAGAGAGAAAAACCCATCTCCTTCTCTTTTGTCTCTCTCCTTCTCCAAACGACACCCCAGTGAGTGATCGGTGAAAAATTAGAGCCATTTTTTTGTTTCCTTTTTACTTTTAACTATCTTCTTTTTGCCTTTCTTTCTTGTTCGTTTTTTGGATTCTAGTTTGAGCCAAATTCCCGCCAAAACGTCTGACGCATAAGTTGCCATTTTCCCTTTGTACTTCCGGTTCATACAAACCACTTCACATTTATATACTTATACTGCATCTTAGCTCATGTAAGAATACAATTTAATTAAAGTTAGCAGCTGTTACTCTCTAAAAACTTTACATTACAGGCGATTTCCTTTTGCTTTGTGTTTGATTGCTGAAGAAATACATGTTAAATCACGGCTCCTGATCAACCCATATTAACTTTGAGGAACCTTATGTTATTTATCAGAGCTATGTATATATATGACAATAGAAAATTACTTTAACTCTGGTTAAAATGAGGCATGATTGGTACCAAACGGCCTGCAAGTCGTGTACAAAACGCTCAAAGTTTTGAAGGCACGAAACGGCGAAGCGGAGAAAATACAAGCATTTGAAAACGCAAAAGGATGTCCACTGATTTTAAGAATTTGTGTATGGCTGAATGACAAAGCCTGGGTATGAACAGAAGAAATGCCATTCAGCTCCTTCCTACTTTCATTGCATACCTCTAAAGAAACCAGTTTGTTAAACAGTGACAGTTAATTTTTTGTCACTTGCAGAAATTGTAAAAATGCTTAAATCTTGTGTTCACTTTGATGTTATATCACTTTCTAAATTAATTTTCTCCATGTTGAGGTTTTTTTTTTTACTCTATCTGAATTTGGGTCAGGTTACTCTAATCTAATCTCCATCTGACAGATTATGACCCCCGATCAAACCGAAAGAACTTTGAGCAACTTCCTGTTCAAAGATTTGTTTTTAGTCACACAGAAAAGTAGAATAACGACAAAAAAAGTATCACCCTGGGGGGTATAATATAAATTAAAAAAAGAAGAAAAGAAAAAGAAAAAAAGTTTATTTTTTATTTTTAAGCCTTGCAATTATTCTAGTATCATGTTTGGAGAATTGGGCATTTATCCGAGCACTTTGAACTGTTTTGTGGCTACTTAGTTGCATAATTCATGACACTTAAGTAGTAAGAAGAAGCAGAAAGCAGTTTTAGGACACCGAGTACTAGTTGAGGGTAGGAAATGGTTTGTTTGAGCTTACAAAATGGATGTAGGGATGGATGAAACGGCAACATCTGGGTAAAACGTTGGTGAAGAATCCCCCCGTCATTTTCCCTGAAGTAAAGAATTGAAGTATTTTCGGAAAACGACGTCATTTTGTTTGGCTCTGCTCCCTGTTTGGGTTAGTTGGCATGTGACAGATTAAATCACAAACACCGAAAGGCTTTCTGCTAATGGGTAGCATTTGTCAGAGCCTTATAACTACATTTCCTTATGCTCATTGTACATGCAGATGATAGAAAATGACTTTAAATTATCCGATGTCAAAGCAAAGCAGCAAGCGGACGTTGAGTATATATGAAACGTTCGGTGGCAGATGGCTCTGTTTTTGGACCTGAAAAACATCAGGTGACGAAATGACAAAGTTCTGAGCTAGTAAAGGGGCGAAACGATCAGCAGCTGTTCCTTCCACTGTTGTGACTGTTGTTGTCTCCCCGGCTCCAGTCACCATCTTTGTCCTCTTTTAATTTTTGCGCCCCGTTCGCTTTGTTCCTTGAATCAAAAACTGCGTTTCCGGCCATTCGGTGGCACACACTCACACGGATCTAACCACGCTTAGGACCCACGCCACCATACGCGACATTGAAAAATAAAAAGAGAGAAAATACTAAAGAATGTGTGTGCAGCTATTGTTCTTATCGCTCATCTCAAACCGTTTCTCTAAACTTCCCAATCATCTCTGTTAACCTCTGATCTTTTTTTTTCTTTTTTTTATCCAATTTCACTGTTTCCCTTATTTCTGTTCAGATAAATAACTCCTCCTCCTCCTCCCTGGGCCCAGTCACCCATCCACCCACGTAAACACACACGCACACACACCTGCATCGGCACATTCTAGTCATCTCCAGTCGTTCCAAGCATGGACCAATGCCAAATATCTTTCTCTAGATGGCGATGGCTTCCTGGACTCCTGCCAAATAATTTCCATCTCATATTCTTTGACGGCAACGGAGGAAAAACAAACACATCTACCCACAGTTCACAGCTTGTAGCCGTAATTCAGACGAAGCGACACTTGGGCCGTGTAAAGGCGATACGCGCCATGCGTGCAAGCAGAACCTCACACTGAGCCGGCCCGAGGCATAAGCAAAAACAAGCCCCCCCCGCCCCCTCGGTCCCCCTCCACACTCCCCCAAATCCCTGCTTAGGACCTCCAAAGCAGCAGGGGGCCCCCGAGAGTCCCCTGAAACCAAAAAGGTTGTAAATGCACCACTTTTGTTTCGCTTGTAGTCGATTTTGTGAAGAATAGGGCAACTTTAAAAATTCACTCTGATTTTTAAATAGGACAAAATGCAAAAATGTTTACCTGAATTAATTTATTTAAGTTCCAGAACTGCTAATAAGCTCTTCTACATATGCGAATAAATCTCAACGAATAAGTGAGAATTTTCCACAAGTGCAAACCTCGCCACTCTTCCCTGCTCCACCCAGCCTGTACTGAAACAATAAACACAAGATATGATGGCAGGAGGAAATGAAGCACATCCAAATCTCCATAATTTCAGTAAACCTTCTCTTAAGAGGACTGATCAGTTATTTCTAAGACACTTAACGTGCAAAGAGGGCTCTTAAACCCATTTTCTGCCCGGGCCCCGGCTCAACGTTTGGGCCGCCCCTGCACGCACAGGAGACAAACAGGACAGGTGGCAAAGGTGGGGGTGCGAAAACGAGACGACAAAACAAGAGGATGAGCTGACAGGCGCCCTGCAAACCGAACCCCCGCGTCTTGGCTTGAGAGACAAACCTAACGAGGCCTGTTTTGCTGAACCTACGGTTGAGTAACGCGGCCTGAGGGCAGAAGGCGGTAAATTACTAGGAGCTGGCACCGAATCTATGCCACTGGAACGAAACTCGGACACCTTCTCACAACCACGCCCGCACGCTCGTCTTTCCTCAGGCTCACCTGCAAGAGGGAGGGAGGGAAGAGTGGGGGGGGGGGATGTGTATGCTAGAAGGAAACAAAGAAGGAATGCGTACAGGAGGGGCTAAAAAAATTATGGTTGGTCTGGCGTATTCAAAACTTTATCAGATATGTTCCATACAGAGCTGAGGCTGGACCCACTTCTGATTGTACTCGGAGTTTCTGTTCAGCTTTTTCAGTTTAATAAATGCCAACAACAATTATTATCTTATGCCTTTATCATAGGAAAAAACTAGTGTTGATGTTCTGGAAAAAAAGCAGAGGCTCCATCCGTTAAGTTGTGGCTTGAGGAACTGGTAAGGCTCTCTCATTTGGAAAGATTACGGTTCTCATTAGCAAATAATTTAAAGCAATTTAATAAAACTTGGCAACCCCTTCGGCAATATATTGATAACTCTATTTGAAGAGGATTTGATCTGAGCCTCGGTGTGATAAGATATAAGTCCTAGGGGAAGGGAGGGGGGTGGGTCATGGGAGTGTTTTTGCTTATGTCCTTTCTGTTTTGTTTTTCGTATTGTCTTTCTTATGTTTTATGTTCACATCAGAAAAATGAGGACAAATTTGTATTGCTGATGTTTCATTGTCCAGGTCTGATCCCTCAATAAAATTGTTGACAACAACAAAAAATCTGGGAAAATGTTGAAATGGAAACACATATAAAGGAGAAAGGGGGGGGGGAAAAACACACTAATGTGGCATATCAGGGTGACAGACAGCGTCTAATTCCCCCTGCATGAGAGGAACATGCTTGATAGGTAAAGGAGCACAGCTGACGCTCTGTCAAACATGCCATCGCAAGGGAAGGCGTTATGATAGCAATGAAAGCCAGCTGTCTAACACAATACCACACATACTTTGTTTTTTTTTTTCTTTCTAGCTCGCTCTGTTTCTTTTCTTTTTTTTTTTTTTTTGCTCTTCTTCACACACGGAGCTGAATCTTCACCCCGGTGACACTCCTGTTATTCTGCCTTATCAAGTGTGGGTTAAGTCAGGCAGCCTTAGAGCACCCCCTATCAGCTTGATGAGGGGAGAGTCAGTCAGTCAGTCAGTCTACTACTGCTGCTGCTGCTTCTGCTGCTGCTGCTGCACAATGTGTACCAGATGGGAAACGCTGCTGAAGACAATGGGCCTCTTTCAGCAAAAAAAAAAAAAATCCATTTATGATTTTAAAAAAAAGGGCAATAAAACACTTAATAAAGGGCCTAGTTTTCTTAAAAAGGCAAGTAAGTGGTTTGATTTTTCTTGATTGTGAAATCATAAATTCTTCAAACTTTCGTCAGAACATCATTATGATTATTTGGCTGAAGACGACTGAAGCAGGTTGTGACTCTAACCGCTCCTATAATCTCCTGAAACTCTCTAAATAATGAATGCTTAACGTCAGGAGTGAATAAAAAAAAACTTTTCAAAAATCTTTTTTTTTTTTTTTGCCTGAATAAAATTTTAATTTGCTAAAAAAAAAAGAAGAAGAAGAAAAAAAAATCCTCCGACTGGAAGCATCAATCGTTTAAACGTTTGCCGAGGTTTAAAACTTGATTTCTTTTTATTTTTTATTTTTTTTAGCATTTCAACTCAAACTTCTGATTATTAGCCAGATTTCCTAATAATCGCAGCATAAGGCCACAGGCGCTCGGATGACAAGTCGACTGAATTCAATAGGTTTTAACCTGCCTCTGTTTCTCCAACCGCGCAGCTTAAAAAACACACTCAATCTCAGGAGCTAAACCCCCCCGGAGAGAGTGAGAGAGTGTGTGAGTGTGTGTGTGGGGAGTGGGGGTAAGATTCACTCTGCCATAGAAAACAAATGACACCAGCAACATTGCAGATGGTTGCAATCAAAAATTCAAACGATGAACGGGGCCCCGCTTCGCCTATCCTCTTCTTTTTTTTTTCTCATCTATGATTTGCCAAGCAGAGCTGCAACACTGCAACGTTGTGTAAGGCCAGGCCTGCTTTGGTGTGTGTGTGTGTGCGTGAGTGAGTGTGTGTTTAATTATCTTATCAGCATTTAATCTGTAGCAGTCCCATTCCTTTATCGTAAATCTTAGATTATCAGCCTGAGCGTGAGCAAAATAAAGCCCTGCTGCTGACTGTGACTTGTCACTGAAATTGCCTTATGACCTGTGAGCTATGACACTTGGAGGTGCATAAATCAAATTTTGGCAAAATTGTATAATTGAGAGGGAAAAAAAAAATAAAATAGTGTCCCCACATTGCAAAACTCACCGAACGCGTTCTGTAATGTTTCAATTATTGAAAGACAAAAATCGTAAATCGCTCAGCCACCCCGACCGTCTCCTGCGAGATTATCATCCCGTCAACCGCAACGTTTGTGTGAATATTTGCTGTGGGGTGGAGTGAGTGAATGAGTAAGGGGGGGGGGAGACGAGAGCGTGTATACGGTGGGTTTCTCTCCCCCCCAGTCGTTTTGATGGCACATATGGCACGGATAAAGACGAAAACACTGACTGTTTCACGAGTAGCATGCCAATTCGGAGAGTAAACAGTTATCACGAGGCGTTTCCGTGGGATGGATCCCGCTCTGGTGATGGTACGCTGCAAAACATCACTGTGGAGGGGCAGGAGGAGGGTCTGGAAGGGATGGGGGTCTGAGCAGTAACAACAACAAAAAACAACAAAAAAAGCAGTGCAGTTCATGATTTTCATAGGAATTCATCAGAGCTTGCTGCAGGACACAGGTCTACGGATTGTCACAAACGCGACACCTTTGACCTCTGAGTGTGATCACAAAACAAATAATTAACTGGAAGCTGAATGTTGGCTTATTGAGCCTTCTTGCAGAGCAGCTTTTTACATGTGATTTGTTTTAGGCAGTAAAGCCACACACTTTGCATGTGGTCATGCAATCTGAGCGTAACTTGTGCAGACTCACACTAAATGCTGAATTGGTGTGTGTGTGTGATTTTCTTTTTCTTCTTGTCTGTGCTGCATACTTGTACATTTTGTGCATTTTCTGCATTTGAGTGTCCCTACATGTGTAACCGAGGGAGTGTAGTTTCCTAATACACACACACACACACACACACACATGCACATACAGGCACCGTTCTCCATTGACAAGCTCATACAGAAATATGCTGATATTCAGGTTTTGGTGTTCAGAAACAGAGTGTGTGACCCTATGGGCCGGCGGCGGCTGCGGAGCACGAAGCTGCGTTTGGTTACACGCCGTTCTCCCTGAATCTGACGAGCGGCTGACATATGCTGGCAGAAACTTCACATTATGGTTCACATAAAGACACACACACACACGCAGTGACCTGTCCCGACAGGCGACGATGAAGAAGCGTTGACGAATAAGACAACTGACGTGTCTTCGTTTTTTATGTTTTGTTTTTGTTTTGTTTTTTCACACACAGGGCGGTTGAAATTGCTCTCTTTAGGAAGTCGCAGCTTAGTTTTCGCCCACGCTCCTCAGGTGGTCGTCTGCAGGCCCTCCCATCAAACAACCCACAGCATAATGCTGCCACCAGCTGCAGAACGACAAGGCGCGTTGGCGCTTTCGCTTCGCTCCAGCTCGAGGACCCCTTACTGAATCTAATCTGGACCGTCGACGCTGAAACGTGCACGCCTTTCCTTTTGCAGAACATTTCTCTTTCTTTGGCTTTGAGCGTTTCACAGAATCTAAAAAAAAAAAAAAAGACAACTAAAAAAAAGAAAAAGTGAAAAAGCTTAACACTTCAGTCCTTCCTTAACCTTACACCTGTACATCTGAGGTCAATGCCTGAGGGCATAGTTCAGCAAACATCAAGTAAAAGAACAGGTAGGACAACATTTAGATCCTCCAAATTGCCCGGCCTGTCAGCATCTGACTCTGATCTTTTTATTCAGACTTCAGCAGCTACACGCTAAGCTGAGCGTCTGTGCATTAAATAACATTTCCAAAAGCTGCTCCTGTTCCTGCAGCTGCATGTGTGACGACTGGAAGTTTTAAGTGTGTATCTAGTTTTTTTTAAATTATTATTACTATTATTTTTATTGCTTTAAGCAAGAACAGATCAATCCTGAGGACACATACATGTCACTTCAAAAAGGCAGTTAAAAGACAATGTGTGACAACTAATTGTCAGTGCAATTATCTGCATTGAGTAGGACAGGAATGTACTGACTGTGAGGCAGGTGCCTGAAGACTTTTCTGTAATTACTATAGGAAATGTGCCCAAAAAAAAAAAAAGAAAAAAGGTTCAGGATATTCAAGAGTTGATTTTTTTTAAAAATGGAATAAGTTCATTAAAGGTAAAACTATTCTAACTTGTTGCCAAGTGTTTGTGTTATTTCTCTGCAGGCAAATGCTGGACGGACACACACACACACACACACACATTCAGTCAGCATACACGTTTTTAGAGAGATTTAAGATCGAATAAACTGCCAGATTACAATCTACAAAATAGATTTTTTTTTTTAGCCCTTTAAGGCCGGTGTGTTGGTTCACAACGTCCTCTTGCATATTTTATGGACAACCTCAAACGAGGAAACTCAGGAGACAAAGTGGATGAAGCAAATAAACGATGAGCCGAAATCCACCTCACACTTTTCAGCACAGAACAGATCCGGGGCCAGAGATTACATCATGAAGTTTGTGCAATAAATTACCCAGATTAGGGAGCCCCTTTGAAATTGGATTTAGGCGCACGCCAAGCCCAGGGAGATGAAGGTTAGATTGATATAATTGGATTTCGCGACTTTTTCTTTTCTTTTTTTTTTTTTAATCGGCATGGGCCCCCACTTATAAAAGTTATCTGATCGCAGTTTTGGAAAGCATTAAATCGAGACAAAAAAAATCTATATTGTTGTTATTATCGCAACAAATGTGCTAATATATATATATATTTTACTGTTTTGTTCTGCACGAAAGAGTTTTGCAAAGAAAACTCAGGTTTTTTTTAACGCACACATTTTTACTTTATTCACCTTGCAGCGGGGTAGTTGTAGCAATAATAGTAGTAGCAATAATGATAATAATAATAATAGGGCCTTTAAGCTTCCGGAGGAGGAAAAGAAATGGAAACTTGCGCAAATTTACAAATCGAGAAAGACAAAATGCGAAGAACGCGAATAATAAAAATGAGAAAATATGAGAAAAGTGCAGTAGGAAAATGCGTGTTGTGACGAAACGCTGAACACATGTGCGCGCATGCTTTCCAACTCAAAACAGACGCCCTCACTGTATATACTTGAGGGGGTGTTAAAATGTAATGATTTTTGGAATATAACGCTTATTTCACTTTTTTGTTGTTGTTGCAAGTCAAAAAAAGCGGAAACACACCGTGTTTATCAAAGCAATGTCTTCCCCCTTGTCATTTATTTCACATATGCTGCGTAGTATCCCAACTTTAGATAAATAAAACACCGCATATGCGAATTATAATAATAATAACAATAATAATAATACATATTTGTGGTAAAATACTTCATTCTTGTAAATACATAAAAAAGTCTAAACCAAGAGTGGTTAAAAAGTAAGCGATAAATAATGCTGTAATTATTATTTAGTAAGTTGACATTAGAAGAAGATGAACTCACCTTGGACCGTCTCCCTGTGCGTCAACGATAAGTGCTGCGGGTTCACCTGCTTGCGGCGGGACATTGCCCCGGCATTTACTCTGGCATCGCCCGGTGAACGGCACTTGGAGTCGGCTTGAACCGTGGTGTCGGTGAGCAGCTCTCTCTCTCCCTCCCTCTCTCTCCCTCTCGCTCTCTGTCTCGCGCTCTCTCTCCTTCGCACTCCCTCCGATCGCGCGCTCTTATCGCTAGCCCGTCGACAGTCTCTGAAGGTGTAAACTTTTGATGCGCGTTAAGGAGCCGGAGCAGCCGGGCTGAAAGTCGGAAGATCCGCGCCGGTGTCCTGCCGTGGAAGCAACACCTGGATCGGGTAGTGGGGGAGGAAGCCAAAGCGGGGCTTTCTTTCTTTCTTTTTTGTTGTTGTTGTTGCGATGGATCGATGAAAGCAGGTTAGGAGAAGTGTGGCGTTTGTTTGCAGATCGAAAAGAAAAAAGGAAAAAAAAATCCTGGACTTCCCAACCTCTGCAGCGACCGTGCTGATAGAAAATCGCCCCCCTTTTTTATTTTATTATTATTATTATTCTTTAAAGATTTTTCTCTTAAAAACCTATGATCGCCGTATCTGTGGGGGCCAAATAGCAGCTGTTTACTCTGTGTGCTCCCTACAGTCCTTCCATCTCAGCAGTGGTGCGCTAAATGACCCTTTGGCACTGACTCCTCCTGTGCGTTTTGGCATTGGTGCGCGGAACGGCAACTCTTGGCTCCGGCGGCACTAGCCTGGCTGATTGAGAGACACACACACAGAAACACACACACACTCACACACACAGACGAGAGAGAGAGAAAAAAGAGAGAAAGGGTGTGTGTATGTGTGTGTGTGTGTGTGTGTGTGAGAGAGAGAGAGAGAGAGAGAGAGAGAGAGAGAGAGAGAGAGAGAGAAACCAGGCGGGCAGACGTGACACCTCCTCCTTTTCTTCCAACAAGCCGAGGTCCAATGTTTCCCAGTTTCCTACGGTGTTTGAGGCTACTTCGAGTCGACTCACGCGATGAAAGATGCTCTGCCTGCCAGCGTACGCGCGTGTGCCCGGTGCACGGCTCACGTGCTCGGGACTCAAGTTCAAGTGCGCTCGTGTGCCGCCTCGCGCGCCAGGCAGTTCGCTGGACGAAAACGCGCGGACAACCCGGCGGCTCTCCGGGGCTCCTCCATCAGCTCCGAGAAGTAATCACCAGTCATCAGCGGTTACTCACTTCACAGACGGTTCTCATGCCTGTCTGGGCTTTTCTGAAGCAGCGTCACGTTACCAGCAAAGAAACTAACCGTCTCACCTTTCTATTTATCATTAGTTTATATAAAGAAAAGGGGCGCGTGCAATTTTTTTTCCTTCCACCCCCCACCCCCCGCGCATTAGCTACAATTTACTTCTCCTCATTTCATGAAATGTCACCAGAAATTTCACATAAACACAACGATTAGAGCTCGCGCTCTCTTGATCTCTCAGCCTATCAGGTCAAACATCTAATTGGTCTTATGATACTTTTATCGCGGGCGGTTCTTTAAGTGTTATTAATATTAGATAAGGTTCGAGTGAGTAATCAGTGTAAATGTAAAGCATATATTTCCACGCATTGTGTAAGAGAGAGAAAGAGAGAGAGAGAGAGAGAGAGAGGGGGGGAGTGCGCGCGGCATGCTGCAGGTCCGTTGTCAGGGTAGTTTTAAGGCAACAGTACCCTCTGTTGGCACAGTCGGGAGGCAAAGCAGACCTAATCAGGAGGTGGCACCTTTAAAACAAACAAAGCAAAACAAAACAAAAAACCAAAAACAAAACAGCTTTCTCAGTTTAGCCCGGCGCTTTGCAAAAGTATTCAGGCTCCTTAATCTTTTCCACATCTTGTTAGCTTAAATTTTATTTGGCATTTTATGTGATGGATCATCGCGAAGTAGCGCGGAACTGGAGAGTGCGAGGGGAAAAAAAAGACGCATCGTTTTGTTTTTATTGTTTCACATAAAACAAAACAAAAACTTAGAACATATATATTTTCAGGTCATTTTACTCTAATATCCCCACATAAAACTTAACTATTAAACAGACTCATCTTGTGTGTGTAATTGAAACCCAGAGGTTTATTAGAGAGGGAACAAACGGGGAGCGTAGCAGATGGGAATTATTCAACTGTATTAACTAATACAGTTGTGTTGTATTAATCAAAATTAGCACAACACAACTGCAAACACGGCACTTCACCCATACCAAACGATTCAAACTCCAGTCTTTGGAGTCTTCGTGTCTCCGGTTCGATGTACCTGAATCCAACCTCTAGAATCGCCCTACTGACCTGCCCCTTTAAGCTCTAGAAGTTGCTCTGATCAGATGATACAAAAGCATTTTTTAAGCCTCCACATGCAAAACACTATGGATGAATGATAAGCAAACTAACACTGAAAAATACCTTTGGTGAGACATGGTGGTGGCACCATCATGCTGTGGTGACGTTGATCGGACTTTAAAAAGACTTTACTTCCCCTGTATTCTTACGATTTTTGACAAAACTGCATCTGTCTAGCTTTTTGTAAAGTCAAAATGTTGATTTGTGCGGGGAAAGGGAGACTAAAAACAAATGCACACCACACTTCAAATTTTTGTAACAAAGGTAGAAAACCTATTTTTTCCCTCTTGTCACATAATAATTACAGCTACATTGTGTTGGTCTATCACCTGAAATATTGTTGCTGTGTGAGAAGATGTGAAAAAGTTGAAGGGTTTTGAAATATTTTATTTTATTTTTTGCCGCTGTGTAGAATCCAGAGCGGATCAGGTCCACTTAGAGCTTGTTAATGAGTCTAATGGACAATCATTCAGTCACTGAACGCTTCATTGTATTCAGCGTATATATGCACAGATAAGTGCCTTTCAGACACTGTAGCCAAGCTTTTTTTTTTTTTTTTTTTTTTTTTGGATTTCTCTGAACCTTACAAAGCAATTCAAACTTGTGCTTAAGCTGTAATTTGGTTGAAATACTCTTGCTGGAAAAAAAAAATAAAAAAAATTAAAGCCTCTCATGGCCGTTTAAAGTTGACAATATACTTTTCCCTGAATCGGCGAAGAGAGGTGTGCAGCCATGGCGATACGTGTTTTTTTTTTTTTTTTTTACGGCCCGGCCATTAATAAAACATGGTGGGCAATTTTAAGAGCATTAGAAGTTTGATTGCTTCGGGGCTGGCCTGTGGGTCTTTCAGGACAGTAATTATTTATATAAATGAAATGTCATCTCGGCTCTGGCTCAAGGAGATGTAACCTCGGCAGATGCCACGTGCAGAAACACAATGGCGACAATAGTTGGGGTTTCACAGGCCAAGCCAGCGCGTGGCCCCAAAATTCACTACATGAAAGTAATAGTTCGTAACAAAGGGGGCAGCAGAGTAACATCAGCCGTATACATGAAGGAAGACATTACCCAGAGTTCACACGCTTTCCCTTACCATGTCTGCTGCCTGTGATCCGTACCCATGGGTTTCTCAATAATACATCAATGCTACCATTATAGCTTGTATCTGCAGGCTCGGGGCAAAGGCAGTGTAAGTTGGGTTGCAGAGGGCCACATAACATGCCTCGGCTGTGGACACAGGAAAGGTTTTAAGTCCAAAGTGTTGCCTCCGAGGAGACACGCATCCGCCGTGGCAAGTGTCACCGTTCAGTACGAGTTAACCTCAACACGCCGCGGGGCCAACAGCCACGCCGCCGGCGCCAAATGGAAGTTCTTGTCCGACGAAGAAGAAGTAGAGGCGAGGACTTCCGTTCGGCTTTCCTCCAGCTGAAAGCTAAAGATCTCCGGCTCACAATACGATTTCAGGCACTAATTATTCATGTTGGGGTGGATGAAACGAGTTCGGGGACGTGTGTTTAAAAAAAAAAAAAAAGGACTGGATCCCGCTCATATCCGCTTTTGATTCTGGGTCACTATCCTTTCCATTTTTTATGTCGCTCCAAACTAAAAATGAAACATAAAAAAAGAGAGACATTCCTATGGGGGCCCGTCTAAAAATAGACAAACTGTATGCAGTACTGTAGAAAAGCGTTTTAGTTTTTTTTAAATATCAGACAAACCTCTGTAAATACAAAAGGCAGTTTTCAAAAGGATGATTTCATTTATTAAGAGAAGCAAACCATCCAGACATGAAAAAGTAATTAGTTAGCCATCTTTGTCGACAACAATCACTCTCCACGATAATAACAGGAATGTTTTGCATTAATGTGGATTAATTATCATCTACTATTTGTTGCATTTAAAAAAAAAATCCAGCCACATTCAAAGGTTTTCTTGGATAAGTTTAAGGTATTTAAGGTAAGACAAAGTCCAGGCTTTTACTGGGCAACTTCAAAATCTTAATTTTATTATTCAGATGTGGACTTGTTGGTTTTCTTCACTGCATGAAAAACACAAAATCTTACCAAGTATTTTGGTCTAGTTTCTGGTGTAAATGTCTTAGTACAAAGCTAATTACAGGCAACCAATCAGCAAGAATCAGGAGTTTATTTTAAGTCAAAAATTCCTTAATATTGTTACAAATGGAATAATCTACCAGTGGATTAAGACATTTTCCCCAAATTGTTAGTTAAAATGTCTTGTATCATTGACAGATTATTTCACTTTTAGCTTGATTTACAACAATTAACATCTTCCTAAAAAAGTTACCTGTAAGTTAGTTTGGTCTTATTTCAGGTGTACTGAAATATTTGCACTAGAAACTGGACCAGAAATACTTGGTAAGATTTCGTGTTTTTGTCGTGTTCACACTATCATCCAGCTACATGAAACCAAAGTGGCCCGAAGCTTAAAGTCTCAATCTGATGACCTTCAGAATTCATCGTCCAGACCATCAGACATCCGGATTTCTGTGATCTTTTAGCCTACTTCGTGTTGTCAGTCACTTACAATTTAACCATTTTCTTTCATAGAAAGTAAGTCCAATTGCGCTCACCCCATCCACATCCCCATAGAGTCAAGAAATTACTTAAGCAGTTAATTCATAACTGTTCAAAAGGGAGGATGAGGGTTTAAAAACCGCATGTTGTGTTTAATCACTTTATCTCTGGTTTTAGAATATTCTTGATGATATGAAACATTTAGATGAGCAACCAAAACATGTAGGGGTGAAACTCTTTTTCAGAGCACTGCACGGTGCTCAAACTGCAAGTTTTGAGAAAAAATGGGTGATTTTAGTGTTGCAGAGGTGAAAAATAAAGCACTCAAAGCCATTTTGATGTGATTAACCGCAATGTGACAGCGCTGACATAAACAATGAAAGGTCCACTCCAGGAGAGCTTGTGGTAATATGAATATTGCTGTGGGATTTGCTTATAGTCGCTACTTCATTATGCAATGTTTAATATTAATAAAGAAAGTATAAGGATATATTATTTATAAGCTATTCAGAGTGTGGTTGGTATGTGTGTCTGTGTGTGCGTGTGTGTGTCTGTGTGTGCGTGTGTGTGGATTTGAGTGACAGATTGAGATGCTCCCTTGCTACAGGCAATACAACCAGACAAGGCTCTTACTTTTCCACAGGACCCGTCCTGACAATTTCTCCCACAGTTAAGAGGATTTGTCCGAGCAGGGGTGAATATATAATGCATGCAGATTCCAAATTTTAATGTGGGCCAAGTAAATGATTCAATGCTGGCTTTTCTCAGAAGTGAGGCCGCGAGGGGAGCGAACAGGGCTCGGGACGTTGCTCATGGTCGGCTCTTGCGACAACAGGCTGAGCGGGCCCACATGCTGGTAGTAACTATAAACATCCAAAGGAGATATTAGGGATTGTTTCTGCCTCGCAGGGCAAACGCCTCTCACA